GAAGTAAAAGAATAATCAGACGTATAATAATATAAGCTTGGCTGCTGAGACCACAACTGCTTGCTTAGAGACAGAAAGCCACTGATCAGAACAGATGTGAACATCTTATGTTGGTATATATGGTTGCAAATGTTGAAAGTTAGCTACTATTCATCTAACCCAGTTAGAACTGTAACTTTGTGTTGATTTGCTGGAGCTATAATAAACTTAACATATAATATAAAGTTCTAATAAGCCGCTAAGGCATCAGAGATGATAGGTTGTTTTGTAATATTTTAAATCTCATTAGCTGTAAGGAATAAATTTTTATGTTAATTTTTATAATGTATCTTGCATTAACAATAAGAATTAAAGAAAGACTGTAGAGACATTACGTATTTTTTGGAATCAGGAAAGATGAAAAATGAGCAATTGCCTTCGCCGGGAATCAAACCACGGATCTCTGGAATACCAGCCCAGCGTGCAGAACCACTACACCACAAAGGCACGCAGAAGAAATACCTTATACACCCCCCTTTTAAAGGGTGACTGAGGGTTTTAGGGGACCCAATTGCCAAATCCTGGGTGAGGTGAATCATCATCCAACACCCTTTTAGTTCGGGCACCACTGTAGAGACATTAGGTATTTTTTGGAAGCACGCAAGATGAAAAATGAGCAATCGTCCTCGCCGGAAATCGAAACATGGACCTCTGGAATACCGGCCCAGTGTACAGAACCACTACACCACGAAGGCAAGCTAGGAAGGCGGGAGAAATACCTTATAAGACTATAATTCACCTTAACATGCAGAGATAATTCTAAGGGTGAGAAGTTACAAATAATTAAATTATAAAATAATAATAGATTTACATGTTTATAATTTTTTTTTTTTTTTTTAAATTTCTAAAAATATCCATTAAAAAGCATTAAGAACATTTTACAGCAGTTAGACATTATGACGTTGTTTCTAAAATGATATTAGTAAAACTATACATTAAAAGCTATAGAATATTTATATTGTGTAGAAAAAACAAACACCAAATATATTTATGCAGCTTTTTAATGTGAAAATTTTCCACATATTTCACCTACATCAGTTTTCATTCCCTTTAACATCTTTTTTAAGTTTACTTGTTTCAATAAACAAATCAATCTTCTCACTGGTCTCTGCTTAATCTCCTAATTTGTTAATGTATCAACAATGTATTTTAAGGATAATTTTCTCTCTTTGAAAAATCATTTTCCCCCTCCCAATGAATATCCTCCTCATTTCAGAATTTTCAGATTTAAGATTTCTGTTATTCCAAAAAAACTGCCTGTAGTTAGAATGACAGAAGAAACATCTGATTTCTTTAATAATATGAGTATTGAGTATAAATATGAAATGATATACGGTTAGGACCAGCACCAGAGCAGATCTGGTGGAATTTTAAAATTTAGGGAAGCATGAGAAACACTATTTAAGGCAAAATTTTTAGAATTTAGAGCAGGCATTGAGGTATATATGGTGCACTGAGACATATATGATGAACCTTTTAATAAATTGTTGGTTTTCAGCTTCAAACATGTTAAATGAAAGACTACTGTGATCAAAAGGAAGAAAATATAACAATTTTGCTTTTACTGTTGTTCTGAAAATTCTCCAAAAGATGAGAAATTCATCATGATAAAATATAACAGGAAATTAATTTTTAATGATAATGTTAATTTAAAAACAAATCGAAATTAATTTTTAAATAATCAGAGAACCCTTTTGGTTTTTTACTTCCTTGTATGAAATAAAAAGGAAGTATTGTAATAGCGAAAAGTTTCAGGCAACATATTTCAACGAAAATATCCATTTTGACCGCTATCGAATGCAATTTAACGATGTTTTTGCATGACATCTGTACGTAAGGACAGAATAAAAGACTCTTTTCCTCCAAAAAAAAAAAAAAAAAAAAACTATAAAACTGCTTTAAAATTAATTCTGAAGAGAATTTTTCATGACGTCTGTATGAACGTATGTGCGTACGTATCTCGCATAACTCAAAAACGAGTAGCCTCAGAACGTTGAAATTTTGCATATAGGACTGCTATAACATGTAGATGTGCACCTCGTATTTTGGTTGCTATCAGCCGCACCAAATGTATATAAATATATTTATATATATATCCACTCTGTTACCCGGCTCAGTGATCTCAGTTTCTTTACTCTTATATGTTTGTAAATTGTACATTTTTTGCTTTAAAAATGATTGAATTATGTTGTTTTTATCTTCTGGTTAAGGTTTTTATGCCTTTTGTAATTCTGGAAGCAATAGTTGTACATTTATTAAGAATTTAAAAGCTGTTTAAGTGCGGTTAAGTTTTAAATAACATGGCGGACATATTTGTTTACATTTGAAACAGCAGAATTGTAGATTTGTTGCCAATCTAGAGAGACTAAGCTTTGACAAAAATAACGCCTTCATTTATTATTGCGAATTAAATCATGCTTAATCCTTTCTGGAATTTTTTCATGGAAATAAGTGTTTAAGATTTACTTCGTAATTTTTAATGCAGATATTTTGAGTTTTTATGTATTTTTGCCTTGTCACGAAGTGAGAACTGAATTAATTGAATGAGAAATACTAAATCGTCTGTGAAAAACTGTTTCTTTTTTGTTTTCTTTGCTTAATTTCTTTCATACATCGTTTTAGCTTTATTATAGTATTTGAATAGAACATGTGGCAACGATAATTCTTCAAATGATATAAATTTTGTGCATTCAGAGTGTCTTTATAGTGAACAAATATAGTGAATTTTAAAGAGTGCATTTATTCTATTGTGGTTTATGCGCTGTCGACGAAGTAGATTTAATTCAATCCAATCAATTTAAATGAAATTCAAGAAAAAAATGCATATAATTTAATATTCCGTACAAGGAAGTCATGTGGTGTACACATCAGATTTTTCTAAGAAGTGTTTCGGAAACTGCCTTATAGCATTAGCTTATTATCTTGTTTATTTTTCAGAATCTAAATATTCCACCAAAATAGGAGTCACTTTAAAATATGGAAGAAAATTAAAATGCTTTATTTTAATGTTATTTCTTACATACATTATTTTAATATACTACCATTATTTTTATGGTAAGTATCAATGTTATGCTTACAAGAATAATCATTAAAATTTCGCAAATCTATGAATAAAATGTTTTGCATACAAACTCACCATGTAATTGCGAAAATGTTGATAAGTTGCCAAATTTTGTGCCACACAGTTTCGAAAGAATTCAAATGTTAACATATCAAGTAAATATTTGTCTATGCATAGCCAAAAAATATTCCTTGAAAATATTAATACTCAAAATGGCAGTCATAAAAACAGACAGAAATGTCAGATGAGTAAAATTAATGACTTTTGCCCCAAATTGAGGACTTTAAATACAGTCATGTCCATAAATTAAGGATAACGCAAAATCAGGCAAAGGAAGAGTTAGAAGCAAAACAAATTTGACTTATTTGTAAAGCTTATTTATTAAACAAAAGGTAAAGAGCAAAAAAAGATGCTATATGTTTGATATTATTAAAAAAAATTAGCGATTTTTTCTCCATGGAGCAAATTACAAAAAAAAAAAAAAAAAAAAAAAAAAAACCTATTTTTAAAAAAACAATATTACATGGTTGGTATGATTGTTAATACATTGTATGTCTTCCAGACGAAGCAATACAGTCCGAACAATGCCTAGGCATGCTGAGTATCAAATTATCGATCTGATCTTGGGGGATATTACACCACTCAAAAAGCAATGCTCTCCGAAGTTCCGGTAGACATGTAGGAGGAGGTTGACGGGCTGCAACTCGTCGGCCAAGCATGTCCCACACGTGCTCTACTGGATTCAAGTCCGTTGAGAATGCTGGCCAGTCCATACGGGTTATATCCTCTGATTGAAGGCATTCGCTTACGATGTTTGCACGGTGAGGACGGGCGTTGTCATCCATAAACACAAATTGTGTGCCCATGACGCCCCGAAACAAACGTACATGTTGTTCCAGAATGACATCCCGATAGATTTGGCTTGTCATGCTTCCAATTTGAACATGCAGGTCAGTTCTAGAACTCAGAATAATTCTACCCCAAATGAGCACCCCTGCACCACCGTAACGGTGTCATTCAATGATGTTTTCTTGGTGGTAACGGGTACCTGGAGCTCTCCATATGAAAGTCCGGTGAGAATCAGACTGCAAGCTAAACCTGGACTCATCGGAAAACATCACACAAGCCCACTGTTGCAGTGTTCACATTGCATGCTCTCTACTCCAGGCTAACTGCAGGCGACAGTGAATTGCAGTAAGTGGAATGCATCTGACAGGTCTACAAGCACATAGACCAATCTGCCCTAAGCATTTGTAACGGTCTGCCTTGAAATTTACTTAACAGTGGCTGAAGAGAGCTGACTAGACAGGTCTGAGGCTGTGCTCCGCCTGTTTCTTTTGGCAGTAACTGCCAAATACCGGTTCTCATTCGGCATTGTAACTCTGGGGCGACCTGTGCTATAACATCTACTCACATTATCATCATCTTGGAATCGTTGCCAAAGCCTGGAGATGACACCCTGGGTAATTCCAAATTCGTCTGATACTTCCAGTTGGGTACACCCACATTCCAGACGGCCGATAATTCTACCACATAAAAAATCATCCAAATGCGTCCTTTGTGTCAAAACTATTCGGTTATTGCACTGAAATGCCTATAAAGCGCCTGCGAACAATTTTACTTCTTTGCCTGTATTCCTTATATATCACTCTCTTACACTCTCGTCATTGTGACGTACTATCGGTGTCATTTGGTTACTTCCTGAAATTTGCATATGATTTTTGAAGATGTGTGTAGTTAATTTACAGGTGATATATTTATTTTAGAGTTCGATTTCCGCGTGACTCCGAATTATCCTTAATTTATTGACATGAGTGTATTTTTAAAGACCATACTAACCCTGATTATAGCAATTATGTTTGCAATAATAAAATCCCCAATTAAAAATGAAAAAATTTACCTTTTGGATCTTTCCTGTGAATAAGCTCTACTAAGGTGGGATGACGTATCAGCATATTACAAACAAATGGTATAATTTTTAGGATTGAGTCTGCTTTTGAATTTAATGAAATTCTACATAATTTCTTAACAAATGCAGCTACCGAGTATAAGATGGTAAATGCCTGCAAATAAACATTTTTCATTAAGATATTTCTAATAAATAACCACTTAATGATAGACTAATGTAAAAAAAAAAAAAAAAAAAAAATTACGATATTTAAATCACATTTCAAAACCCTCTATACAAGAAAACAAACACTTAATAATTTTGTTTCATGTAATGTATTACAAATTTAAAAAAAAAGAATTACTTTTCACTATTAATTTGTAAAATTGACACAATACTCTAAAGATAATCTTTATTAATTTTTTTTATTGATGACTGTTCAAATAATAGATTGTGTATTACTTACTGCATATAGAACTAAAATATATTAAATATAAATCTATGAGCAGTTCTATTAACAATACATATCAACAATGAAGGCACAGACACAATTATTGCATGTTGCTGCTCTTATTATGTGAGGATATTGCAAGTGGTAAGAGCTTCTCTAGTTGAGAGTTCAAGAGCTGAGTTTTTGCTTAGTTTAAAAAAGTTTGTAGACTGAATTAGTAAAGCCCTCTTAATTTTTGAACTGTACTTTTACAGCCTCTGATTCATTATAGTTGAAATGATATCAGACGAGCAACAGGATCATTGGACCGTCAGCCTCCCTCAAATATAGAGGCTTTGGTGAAGGTTGCTAAAGTCCCTTCTCACTGGCTGTGAATTTGCGATTCTGGTAATTTCAAATGGCACTGTTAACTGAACGAATTATTCCTTCTGCAATGCCTGTTGCCTCATATCTTGTCAATGACCTGTGGAAGACCACACATAAATTTCTTATTTTTGTGTGGTCGGCTACACACACATTGCAAGGCGATAACAATCTTTCACCACTCAAATAATCTCTTGATCACCTAACTATTATAGCTATGATGTTTGTTGGAAAATGTACAACTTTAATATGTTTAAGACTGACTTATCTTATGTTGCTCAGTTGTCAATAAGAAAGATATTCTTCAGTTTGCTCTTCCTTTTCAAATCTCTAAGTACATAAGTGAGTACTATTTACCTAGTTATTTTACTTGCAGTACTAATAGTGGCTAATATTTTACTCCTTTAAAACATTCACATTTTTTTTCTTTTTTCCAATTCCTAATATATATATATATTATATATTTCCAAACCACACATAGTGATGCAGCATAAAATGGTCTTAAAATTTTTTGGTTCAAATAAAGAAAATAGCTGCTAACCTTGAAATTTGAAAAACTGGAAACCAAAGGATTTATTGTATATTCCGATGTATAACGTGAACTTTAAATACAAGAAAGAAGATCGAAATTTACGGGTGTATATTATATCCAAGTATAAAAACAATAGATTTAAAAATAAGAAACAAGGGGAAAAAAGGTGGGGGGGAAGAGGAGACTTCTATACATAGTTACATGCTATTTATTTTAAAAAAATGATATACCTTATGAAGTAAAAAATTTTCTTATGAAATTTCTTATGAAATAAAAATGAAAAGTTTGTCATCTTTGTCTTGCGTTACATCTTCAGACACATCATCGAATTCTGATGATTCACTTTCACCATCACTGTTACTCTGATCCATAAATAATCATCATCATCTGTTCCATCTTTCACCAACATCAAACACTCCAGCAGCCCGATTTCCATTTCTTTCGCAAAATGAATGGCTTTGCGTTTGAAACCATTTTGAAGGAACCATATTTACTACCAAAAGGAAATGTAGATCAACTGTATTTTAACTAAAATGTATTTTACTAAAGCCTTCGATTTTCACTTTAAATTCATGGCTTCAAATGACTACATTTGAAATGACTGCAATTAAAAAAAAAAAAAAAAAAAAAAAACCCATCTAAGTCCTAATTCCTCAAGTATATTCAAGTTGGAACTGCATGCTTACTCCAAATTAAATTCCCCTTTTGCTGAAACCCTACAACAGGATTCTTTTGTACATTTGCATTGAATACAATCCACGTTCTGTGCAGGAATATTTACTCCCTCAAACATTTAACCCACACACATACTGTTTTCCTTATCAATTGTCAATTAGGTATACTATTGTTTGAAAGGCTAGGACAAATCTTTGAATAAGTGACCCCAAAATATTAGAGCATGGCACATGTATCATTTAGGTTTCTTCGTGATGAATTGGGTGCACGTTATATGGCGCATATACCTAAGAATTAAAAAATGTAGCTTGAAATTATAGATGTGCATTATAGACCGGAAAATACGGTACATGCTGTGGGCAAAGCGTTTCCAAGGAACTCCAGACTGACTTAAATTCACTCAGATTTCAATTAGACATTCTACATATATTTCTTAGGTTTATTTCATTTTTTAATTTTCACTTTTACACTGAGAGAGACCTAAGTAAGGAAGAAGAGCTTTTATTAATCAATATAATGAAAACAAAGTTAATAATTAATGTACATAGTATTTGTGTGAATAAACTTAGTAATGTACCACATACTGAAGTTAAATAAAATTAAATACACACATTAACTAATTAAACATGGGTTGAATTTTCATATAGAAATCTACAAATATATGCAGCAGATTAAGAAAACTCAGATTAAACAATATTTAATAAAAAAATTCAATACAATGTAATAAAAAATCATCCTGGAAATCATTAGTGGTAGGGAAAGGATATTTGCACAATTTAAGTTTCATTGAGGCAATAAATTTAATTTGTTGTGGGAAGCATTTTCTTTGGTAAAGACTAAAATTTAAAAACCAGAAGATTCAGTAATTTGACAGGAAACATGATGAAAAACCGGGAAAGTTGGTAGTTATAAAATATATATATCGAGGCAATGCATGATAGTACAGACTTGTTTAGTCACAACAGTTTTGCAACAGTACTTCACAGACTATTCCTTTGACAACCTACTATGATCCTGCAAAAGGTAAAATAGCACTTTTTTCTTCAGCACGAATGCGCTTCTGAACAGTGCTTTGTCTTTTCTTCAGCTCGCTATACTAGCCATCTCTCTTAATCTTTATAGCTAATTCTTAAGCTTTTTGCTGCATCAACAGATTGTTGATTGCAATACCTTTTTCATTAATATTTGTACACCATATCGCTACTGCTTTCTTTACATTATGATCTTTCCTGCTATATATTCTTGTTTTCGTTTCAGTTTTGCAAATAACTTCTCAACTTTCAAAATCTTGCATAAGAGAAATTTATTATATTTAAATTAATTTTGCTCAGCAGTATTTCTGTTGACTCCTTTTTGCAGCAGTATTTCTGTTGACTCCTTTTTTGGTGACATAAGTTTAACAAGTGTTAACTTTACCCCTTAGATTCTTACCTTTTGATAGACTATATGATAAAAATGAATAAACGGAAAATAGTAAGTATTTCTCAGAATAAAAAAGTCCCTAAAAACAAACCAAAAGATACTTTGATGTGAAAAAGCATGGTCAATTGGAATGCCTTGTTAAAGTGATTAGTCCGGTTAACCTTCTAAAACTCGGAAAAAGGATTCCTTGGTTTGAAAGTTGCTTTGAACCAAAACCAAAGTGCTTGCTGGTATGTCGCTATCACTTGACACTTGACTCTATTTCGACGTTCTTCTGGCGGCATTACTTCAGTTTAAAACATTCATTCTATAACATTTTGATAGCATTATCAGACTCACTGCAAACAATAAGTAATTTATTTTTCATGTTTTCATATATAAATGACAGGACTCCATTAATTCAATAATATCCAAATGATAACATTAACCGTGATCAAATTAAACTGTAGCAATAGTACCAGCAATAAATTTCATGACTTAATCTCCATTCTTTTAATGACTTTATGTAAATTAAATTGAAAATAAAATGGAAAAATGATACAGAAACAGACTGATCAGACAATTTATAGCAGACTACTAAACTAAAAGCAATGGATTTATTTCAATTCCTTTTTAATTCACTGCTCCCCAACTACTTACATTTATACACTGTAGATCAAGGGTTTTCAATTTTTTGGTGTGTGGCACATAGCGGCATATCTCAGCCTCCTAGTGAATGATATACAAACCACTGGAAAGTTGATCACTCATCTTCAAAACTATCAAAACATATACAAATCAATGAACAGTTACACAGGGTTACCAGATGTACAACTATTTTGACAAATTGTATATTGTACACAGCTTCATATGAGAGTTTTATTCTCAATAAAATATTATTCCTAAAAATATAATAATATATGACTAAAATAAATATAGGAATTTCAATAAAGAGTTTAAATAACACACTTTTTTTTTCCAATCAAAATGTATACAGTACTACTAAAATGCATTACATTACTGACTGAAAATTTTTATCTTGACATCAACAATGTTGAGCAATTTTTTTGTTGCTATTATTATTTTAATGCCTTTTTTTATTGTCAGAAAGAGATCCTTATTTCAAATGAAAAAAGAGAATCAATGGATTCTCTCTTGATTCCTGAAGCCAACTTGTACTCTCCTTCTTTCAAGACAGAAGCAGAGAAAACTGACCTATCTCTCGCATTCCTGCTAGATCAATTGGTCATCAATGTGCAACACTAACAGTGATGCGATGAACACACATATGCCCACAGTGCAACAAAAAGGCAGAAACAGATTTGTAGAGAAAAGTCATTATTTTTATTCCCCTTCTGACAAATTTCAGGACTCGGTACTATTATTATGTTTTGGCCATCTGGCAACCCTGCAGCCCAGTAGCCAAAAATAGAGTGCATGAAAACTCTGTCTAGTTAATCATTCATAGATGTGATATTTTGGGTCATATATTTAAAAAAACTGAAACGTTTCAGATTTTAAATTATGTGCAAAAAGAGCATTTTTTTTAACACTTTGTGTGCCACATTTTTATTTATTAAATATCATGTTCTTAAACCATAAAATTCAGTTCAACAGAAATATCACAAAATAGTCTTAAAATGAGCATATCTTAGAATTTCTGAAACAAACTCAAGCGCTGGAGATAATTTTTTTTTGGTACAACATTGCCATTGCTCGCTTTGAAATGCTTGAGTTTGTTAATCAAAAATTC